CACCGCAGTCTCGGCAAGGCTGTAGTGTGCGGGGCTGGTCGCCTCAGGGTACGTCTCTCAAAAGACACCGTGAGTCATCATGAATGCCGGCTCTGGCGCCAGCATCAAAATACACTGATTCTAGCACTACCTGTGGCCGCTGTGTAAAATCTGAGGACCACATATGATGGGTCTGGGATCGAGGGGGTCGAAGATCGCTTTGGCAACGTGGAGGCCGATGCTTCGGATAGGAAGGTTACCTTCATGCTGCCGGACGGTGACCTCGATGACACTGCTAACTAGACTCGGAAGGCATGAAAAAGACCACTCCCACCTTCTCAGGTATGAAATTCATGCGCGTGCCGGCATGTTCGAATGGCGATGAGCATTGGTGCTTTCAGTCCGAGGGGAAGGAGGAAAGAAGCTGCATGCAGCACTGCCGTGCCGCGCTCGGGCAACCGGTCGCTCCTCAGATTGCTCTCCTCTCAAGTGAACTTTGGTCGCCAACATCTATGCCATCTGCCCCAGGATGTGGGCGGTCCTCGGCTGCAGAAACTGCCTGTCACTCTGGATCTGTTCCTCTTTGCTTGCGTGAAGCACAGACTGGAGGCTGGTCACTCTCTTTTTATTGTTTGAGCTCGTAGCTTTCTCGCTTTCGCATACCCGGCAGCTTGCTTCCCAACAAGTCCGCCCCCCGACAGCAGTTCCACCCATCCGTGGCCGGGATCACCGCACCGATCTTTGCCGAGGCGTTCGACATAAAGCCCGTCCTTCCACCCACCTGCGTCTGCTCGGCATCGGGGTGGCCTTGCCTCGGGGCTGTCTCGCTGGCAACAGCCACATTAGTGATGGGCTGGACCGCAGCGATAAACAAATCCGTCGTGGTTCGTTCGCCCGCGAACAGATCCTCGACGGGAGGTTCTCCCCCACCTCGCACTTGGTCTTGCACACGGAACTTGTCCCTGAAAGCCCCCCATGTGCCCCTGTCCAAATACACAGCGCCGGAGGCCATAAAACACAAGGAGGGGCGGATGACCCACATCAGTTCAGCTTCCCAGACACCACCACTGCACTGGCGAGCCAGTCCTACGGAGGCACATAGTGTCACACGGCAAGGTAAGCCGGCTTCCTGACAGGACGCTACTGGGTTTTTTGTCTTGGTGGGTGGTGGGTACCTCTTCTTCCTGGGCCCGGAAGCGGGCCACGGGAATTCTCTTCAGTGTGATTCCCCGTCCGGCACTTTGTCGCAGGTGTTGTCTGTGTCGTTCCACACGAACGACCAACCGCCTCCGTGTGGACACACTAATGCCCCTCGCACTAGGACGACCCTCATGACCTCATGGTTCCTCGAGCTGAAAGCTCACGTGGGAACACTTCGCGCGGCACGCCTAAGCTACCACTACCTACTTGAAGAAATCGTGTGTTGCTGACACAGTCTTGTCTTGATGCTCGTTCCAGGTTCGCCCGCTTACTTGCTGCAGATTTCCGCTCAGTTCATTTTCTCAGAAAGCGAGTGCTACGCGTCTTTTTACTGCTTGCGATCGCAGTGACTGAAGGGCTCTACGGTTTTGAACGAAAAAGTGCAGCACGTAGCTGGGTCAGGTCTTAGGCCCAATGAAAAACAGTCCCTGATAACTGGCCAAGGTACCAAGTGCCCGGCCGACTCTCGACTCAATCCGCTCCGTCGAAGCCAAGCCAGTCTACGCTAATATGTAAGTCAGGAGAAATCTTCTTGAGGCCACCTGGTGGGGACGGTTCTGAGTGGGAGCCTGACCACAAGAGACCTCGCTCCACCTCACAGAAAAAGCTCGCCAATGTGGAAAAGCTGACACGCAAGGAAGTCAAGGCCCTCAACCAAGAATTCCTCAGCGTAAAATAATTGAAAAAGCAAGGAGGCACCCTCGAGGCAGCACGGAAAGAACGAACAGTGGAACACCTGGGTTCCCGTCCGACCGCTCTCCGAAGGCGCCCTCCAGGCAAAATGTCGCGCGGCAGTCCTGGGACACCGACCCGGATCTGCCTGCGCGCAACAAGCCGACACGCGCCTGCGCCAACCAGGCTCACTGAGCACATACTTCTCGCGGTGTACGTTAGCGGACGTAACCGTTCGTTCTTGCGGAACCGCAGAGTATGGCGCCTCTAGAGCGCAAACGCAACAACGGCTTTGCTACAGGGAAGACAGAACGAAGATGAGCGTCCCAATCGTCTCTTCATGCCTCCGAGAGACCCCATCCTCGACCGAGCTGGCGCGTTTTCAGCAGCCATCTACGAGGTCACTGGATATGTTTATGGTCTGGCCAACACCCCAAAGCTGAGTGAAGTTAGGCATAGAGGGGAGAAAGTATGGCGGAGTCAAAGGCCCCAGGCGTTTTGGAGGTTCAACTAAATATAATCCTCCTCAGCTGCGTTGTTTTGGCCACAGTTTCGACCCCATCCCGGCTGGCCCCTCGTCTCACAAGTTCTTCCCCCCTTCACCCTTGACTGTTTGGGTGCCAAGCTGCACCCAGGCACAATGACTATCGAAGGTGACCAATCTGCCAATGATATAGAAGCCGCGCTTGTGGGGGCGTTGTTGAGCGGAGTTGTGAAAGCCAAACGGCGCACCTGGCACTTATGTCGTCTGTCCGCATGTGCGCTCTTTTGCGAAGGAGGGCGCCCCGTACGTGCTGGTCAACATTGACCTACGCCGCTCTGCTCGGTAGACGATTGTATGGAGGTTGCGCTCCTCCTGAGGAATGTGAGCTGCCAGTGACGAATCGTCTGTCAGGAGTTCTGCCGGTACACAAGAAATGCGTCCGAGCACTACAGCATAGGCCGAGAGTCCACGTGTGTGGGGCATGGAGTTGATGGCATGGGTCACGGTTGAAACAGTTCGCGGTAAACCGCGTTGCGCCGCTCGGCTTTCGTGGTGTGCCTCAGGGGGACAGAACCCACTTACGTGGAATTGTCGACAAGGTCAGTCCAAAAATCGCCCATAGACGCACCACCTGATCTAAAGTGATCTTATGGGGTACGTCGCCCAGAAACGCACCATCCCGATCTCAAGTGATCTTATGGGGAAACCCAAAAGGGCGTGCTCAAGCGGTGCGAAAGGTGTCCGAGACCGCTTTGGGGTTACGGTCTTTACAAACTGCGACTTGCCGCAGGTTCGTGGCATCGTCCACGATGCCTAGGAGGGGATAGTTTGTCGCGTCAACCGTTCTGCGCTTTATCTCGCGTGGCACCTTGCAGTGGGGAAAATGATGTCAATACCATGTACCTCTTGCGGGGAGACCTTCGGGTCAACCAGCGGAGGGGCTGGAGCATCAATGCATTGCCGTATATGCATTGCATATTGGCGACGTCATCCGATTCGCATACCAACTCATCTCTTGCCTTGGGCGCGTTGGCAAGTTGCACCCGTTCGAGTCGCCCAGGGAACCATTTCCGCAACTCGCTTCCAGAACTCGTGTCCAGGTGTGAGGGTAATCTGCTGAACGGCGCTTGTCCGAAACACCTGCTCAACGTGATCCATCACGCCACGCCATTCACGGTCGTCTTGGATGTAGTCCAAGTACTAGGTCTCGTGAAGGGGAGTTTTCGTTGAAGCTTGCAGTCACTCTCTCCTCGGCCTGCGTAGCGTGAGCGTGATTGCTGCTAAGCCGACGCCTTGGTTGCTCCACACCGCATGGTCCGGAGGAGCTAGGGTCCGGTAGCAGCCAGGTCGCTGCTGCTTCTTTAGAGCTTTAAGGCAGCACTCCATCCGGTGGAATCGCGCCAAATAGCCTCCAAGTCACCCGAAAAGGCACTGAGATTTCGAGGGCACTTATGGGCAGATCAAGGATGACCCCAAGCTGCTTCAGTAGCCGCAACGAGGCCGAGAACGGGGGATGTCGGTGGCGAGCAGGGAGCTCGTCCTGGGTTTTCGTGAGGACCCGTGTGTTCCTTTGAACCCTGTCTGCTTGCCTTCCCTTCTTTGCCGAACCCTTTGGGGTGGCCGCCGGAAAGGTGTCCGGGTACTGGAGCAGCAAGCTCTCACGCATTGGGCCTCAATCAAAGCGCTGTCCAGCCCGCTAGGAGGGTCCCGGGGTCACTTAGCAAACTCGAATCCGCACCGTTTTGAATCACGCAGAACACTTTTTTGGGGGCCACTTGGCAAATTAGATGTTTCATCATATGTGTTTTCAGCATGTGTTCCCTTTTGTCGTAAACAAGCCCCCTCATTTGGCAACTCCGGTTCATGTTGCATCTTAAACACGCGCCCTCATTTGG